GTTGAACAGTTTTTTGCACATGTTTTGTTTAAACTAAAGTATAATATGATCTTTAAAATTGATTCGTTTAAAACAATTAATTTTTAAGTAGTTAGTTGACTTGTACTGTTAGAATTAAGGTGCATAAGTGACATACTCATAGACTAGGTAAACTGTGATATGGGTAATTAAAATAAAAACATGAAATTCAAACGAAATGAAGCATTTTATTTTAATGAAATACATTATTTTACTTGAAGGATCTTATATTATTAAAAATTAATATAAGAATAGTGATTATGTTTAATTAGTCTTCTTGTTCGACATCTAAGTCAGGCAAGTTAGCCTTCAGTGATGCGTTGCACTTTAAATTTGTATAAAAGCTGTGAAAATCAGGACTTATTAGTGGTAAATCCATTATCTATTTCTTTTTTTCTATTGAAATTGGTAGTGACGATGTATAACAATTGTTTGCATATATAATAACAACGAATTTTTGTACAAATCAGTTAAATTTAAAAAACCTTTATGGGATAATTATACACCACTGTAAACTTTTGTTTGTTACCTACTATTCCTACTAGTTGGTACCAATCGTGGGGTACGGAAATTTGCATTTTCAGCTTTTTGTTACATGTTAATTTCTATTTTAGCCTCCACATAAATCAGAGTAAAGAACTACTTTTCTAATTTCTTGTGGAACTTTTGACAGCTCTTTATAAATGCATGTTGCGATTTGGTTTGCTCTACCTCTTCCCTTCGCTTCATGCCACATGTAGCAAGTTACATTTCCTGCTGCCATTTCGTGAAAAGTGAAGTTGAACGTCCACAACAGGGACGAATTGGCATTGCTTTAGATCGAATGTATAACATCTAGTGTTATTCTTGTGTTCATTTTTTCTGGCTTTGGTTTTGTCAGCCCTCTTCATTGTATAGCCAAAGTCAGCCTCATCTAAGTGATTGTTTTTATCTTCCCTTATATAACGCGTCTACTTTGGGACTTTTAAAGGAAATGTTCAGTTTATTGAATTCTCGTTCATATGCAGTTTTGCAGGCAGGTTTGTCTACATGCTCCTTGTATAACGAATACATTTCGTCAAGTTCAGAAAGGCTGTAAGTAGTTTTTTATGCTTTGTTTTCGGGTATAATGGGATTCGTATTCGTCGAAATTTTTCTTTTTCGGGATCATCGGTCTATTTTCCTCATAACTTTGGACTCACTAGATTCAACTAAACTGGAAATATAATTTTAGCGCTTATCTGGACTTCCTAAGCTCAAATACTTTTTAAAAATATTGGATTGGATTTCAAGAGTGATACTATCCTGGCACTTGGAACGGTAGTTTTGTAGGACAACCATTTTTCTTCTAGCTTTTACTTTACCTTCTGTTGTCTCATAACTAAGACCTGCATTTCGTTTTTTATACCGTGGTATTTTTAAAGAGGTAGTTAAACGACCTTTAAAATGAGATATCACTTATTTCCCATTTCTGTTGAAGATTTTGAGGGTCATGTCCGCCCCTGCTAGAGATTCAATGTAATTTAGTTGAAAACTGGTCTACAAAATGTCCCCTTTATAAATCAAGTTGGCGTGTTTTTTCATATTTTTAGATTTTCTATCCAAAATGGTTACCGCAAAAATCACATCAATAGAAGTATCCGCAGAGATCTCAATCTCAGAGAAGACAGGCAGCGGAAACCTCTTTTTAGTTTACCAAGCTTTCGCAAATCTTTATTTGCATCATCAGGATGCTACAATAAACAAAATTAGTACAAATTACAAAATAAAAATAATTTTGTGTAATACACTAATTGAGGTTAGTTATTATGGTGCTTAGAAAATGAAATAAACAACTCTGGCTCCTACATAATGGCGAAAACCACCAAAAAAATTTGTTTATTTTAAAAAACGTTTTTACACAAAACACATATTTAAAAACCTGTTACAAACATTTAAACAAAATTATGTTGTTAAAATAATAAACATAATAGCAAAATGAAAATGAAAAAGACAGCAAATATTTGATTTCACACAAACAGCGTCTATATATCTGTTGATACGTATTTCGACCTAATAGGTCTCATCAGAACAGTTATTCATAGGCGTTCTCAACGTGAAAAATCAATATTTTCTGTCTTTTTAAAAAACAACACTAAAATGGCTTCGATATGGACGCAATAGCGACATCTGATAATAAATCCGTAAAATAGTTTCGAAACACAATTCAGATTTCTGCTATCTGAACCTTCTAAAAATTGCAAGGTATTACAGACGTTGATAAAGATGACATCAAATATTTGCTGTCTATTTCATTTTATTCGGATCTACTCTGTATGAGTACAAGAAACCAATTCGCTAAGGATTTCTGCTTAGTTAAAAAGACATATCGTGGAATGCAAATTTTAGATTCCCCATACTTCTTTAACATCTTTATCCGTCTGTAATACCTTGCATTTTTTAGAAGGTTCAGATAGCAGAAATCTGAATTGTGTTTCGAAACTATTTTACGGATTTATAATAGCAAAACTTTGTAGTCAAAGACCCCGAAAAGAAACATCAGCAAAGAAAATGGTGATGATATGATGACCAAGTTTGCCATAAAACTTGTTTTTAATTTTATTGAACTTATTTTATTAAGTACATATTTACAAAATCCATATAGCATGTATAAAATATAATTTTGTTAAATGTTATATAAATCTATCAACAGTATTAATTTATAATATATTATGTTCTTATTTTCGCGTGATAAAAGAACTACAAAAACGGAAAATATATTTATCTGCGTTTCGGTAAACAAGTAATTACACGCTTTTTTAAAAGAAGTTAATGAAAACATGTTTTGGATTTTGTTTAATTAAATCCTTAGGCTAATAATAGTATATTAGTGCTTTTACCATGTATATTATTAATGAAATAGTTTATAGTTTGGTCTGCGTCTTACGTAAAGAACTGAGTAAACAGCATATTAATATAATCTAAAAAAGAGGCAAGTAAGTAAATAGAATCTAATTTTAACAGTTACGTAACTCAGAATCTTTTTACAAACACGTGGCTTTGACTGAAGTGGTAAGTGTATATGTTTTATTCACACTTTCTCTTCTCTATCTGTCGTAGATATAAAAAGCAACTATAATAGATATAGATTTTATAGAGTTCTGCCCCACTCCCGTTCTTTCTTTCTACATAAATTTTGTTCTTTGACTTATTTCCTATATATGTGTCAAATTTCACGTTAATTGATACAGCTTTTTAGAACTCACAAGAAAAATCGTAAATAAATGGACTAAAAAGAGATGAAAATGTACAAGAGAAAACCATCGATGTTACAATAAACACAATGAACAGAAGAAGGGGCAATGGTAAAAAATATATGCATAATGTTTAATTCCGAAGAAATCATACAGTCAAAACACCAAAGAGGTATTAGCTCCGCGGCAAGCAGCAAAAAATTGACTGAATTTTTCAAGGTAACAGCAACATCGAGCAATATTGATTTAGAAACTGCAGCTCAGGAAGGTGTTTGGGCGTATCATATGATTAAGTAAAATGAAAACTTTCGCTCATCGAAAATATTTCGGAATTGCTTTGGATTGATCAAATTTCAGTTAGCTCGTACTAAATGTGAGGCAATTGTTAGAAATGTCTTTGGTCCGTACATCGAAAATCAATTGGTTGATGCAATGAAGAACGCAATATACGTCAGTATAATTACCGATGCATCTAACCATGAAAACGTAAAGATGTTCCCGGTTGTGGAGAGATATTTCGTTCCATTAGAAGGCATGATGACGAAAATATTGAATTTTACGGCTGAAGATGGGGAAACATCTGATATTATTGTGCAGCTCTTGAGGAACACTCTTGAAAAGTACAACATCTCAGGAAAGTTAGTTTCATTCTGCGGCGATAATACTAATAGTAATTTTGGTGGTAAAAACTGAGGTGGGCAAAACAATGTCTACTACAAACTAAAATCATAGGTGAATCAAAATCTGAGAGAAATCGGTTGTGCGACTTGTGCGGCTCACATTATTCACAACACTTTGCAATGTGGCTGCAAGTCTGTCTTGCATGACATATCTCTTGCCTAGTCTGTTTACACCAGAGCTATTTCTGTGCAATTTTTGATACTACTTTCATTAGAAAATATAAAGCTTTAGATATTTCACCTGGAAATTTCAGTCCAGTATTAAATAAATTAAAATATAAATATTAAGGTTACATTAACATGGAGATCCAACATCAGTTGATTTTCTAATTTTTCCTTTTTTTAGAATGATTTCCGGATTGGAAGTCAAAACGTCAAAAGCTAACGTTTAGCGTTAACGTAAAGCTAAAGTTAAAAATTTGATTATTATAACCAATTATGCCTTAATTCCATCAAAAATATTATTGTCAACATAAAAATGTTAAATAATCGATAAAATGATGGTATTAGAGTCTTTGTTTAGAAAAATAAAAAATGGTCCGATTTTCACTGAAAAGTTCCAGATTTCAGGTATTTTTTTAGCCTTGTCCAGAATTCGATTGAATTGGAGTTGGTCACACTACTCATAATGGGTATAAACGAGGTTGCGCGCAACTCGCGCGTAGAATGAATATTGGTGTAACTTTTTTGTAATGTAATTTGGAAACCTGATACTTTCCAAAAACTATAAATAATAGATTTTAATATAGAATTGGTTAAAAAGGGAGATTCAAAAATTTGTTACACAAATTTTTAATAGCAATAGATGTATTAAAGCCTGGCGATTTACTGAAATAAATCAAAAGCGTATTGAATGTTATTATGATCTGCACGTATTATATACACAAAGTAGATTTAATATTTGGTTATATATTTAAATAAAATATATGGAGTAACCTGCTAGAATAATAAACCTTTTCCGTATTCGTCTTCTATCGATGCTAATACAATATTTTGTCGCAACGTCTATCTTTCTATCTTTGTATTGATAACGTCCGCACCTCCTAAAGATTCATTAAAATGAGTTAATCGTTCGCTTACATTGTTTCAGGGTCGAGAACTAAAAAACGATGAACGTACAAGTATTACATCCGGCGATGGAGTATCCTGTTTACTCTTGCAAAACATCACAACTGACGACAGCGGGAAATACGATGTAAATGTTATGAACTCCCATGGAGAAGATTCGAACTATGCATCTGTTGCTGTCGAAGGTAAGTGGAAGTCAATCTAAGAATTGTCTAAAATAAAATATACATTGGAATGTAAAAAAATTAATTAATACAATCAATTTTAAACTAAAATAAATTCATAAAACAAATATTAAGAAATATGACGTAGGGTTGTTAAAGAACGAAAATCTGAAGGACCAAATCTGAAAACACATACGAGAGACTCTAACTGTGTACAAAAAAGCGAGCACCATAGAGCAATACCTACAACCACAAATAACAAAGACAAAGTATGGATGACAGAATAATAGTTATGATGGAAAAGAGACACAATGCTAAAGAATCTAAAAGTTATAACACACTCGACATACAAATAAAAAAGTCATCAAAGACGCCAAAGAAAAATGGCTACTAGAGAACTGTGAAGAAATAGAACAATAATTGGAAGAAAAAACCATGTGTTCAATCTCCATAAAAAAAATTAAGGCGACAGTAGGTTTGTTCAGTTCTAAGAAAGTTGGACATATAACAGATAATCATAAGAAGCCAATCATAAATATAGAAGATAAAATGGACACCTGGACGAAATACCTAGAAAAAACCTTTAATGATGAGCGCCAGAACACGACTGATGCCGTCGATGGTAAAATAGGTCCTCTACTTACACTTGATGAAGTAAAAAACGTAATTCAAAAAACGAAATACATAATTTTTACTCAGAATTTCTAGAACCGATGTACTATAAAGGAATAAAGTGGCTTACATCGATATGTTTAACTACATCTAGTAACTAGTATAAAAAAGTCTGTGAAGAACTACCATTACACGAAAAAGAAGAATATAGAATATTGTGCAAAAAGAACTGCAGAAAAACACACAATCAAAAGCAAATGTTAGTAAAAAGGCATTCTTCTTCTTCTACTTCTTTTACCTCTCTATAATTAATTCTGTTTGTTCATTAGCAGATTAATACCTCTATGGAAGGTTGTCACTCGTATCTTTTGCGCAATCGTCCGATGCTTTTTCTGTCGATTGGTGACTTATCTCTTGCTGTTTTGACGACACGGATCTCCTCTTCTTCTTCTTCCTTCTTGTATATAGGCTTTAAAGCCCCTTTCTTCTTTAATATTAGCCTCCTAAATTGTTTAAATTATCGCACCATCTTTTTCTTGGTCTGCGAATACTTCTTCGTCCATTTGATGACTTATCTCGTGCTATTCGTACTAGTCTATCCTCTGCCATTATACTAATGTGTTTCATTCCACTCCTGTTTCCATTTTGTCACCCATAAATTTATGTCTTCTATATTGCATGCTCTTATTATGTTTTCGCTTCTCTCCCTATCCATCAGACTTTTTCCTGATATTCGTCGGAGTATTTTCATCTCTATTTTTTTAGTAGTCGTCTCGTTTTAAATCTGTCAGCTCTTGTGTCATTAAGATATCACGCCACTTTACTTGCTTTTAAGTTTTGTTGTCGTACTTCTTCTTCCACATCTTCGTAACTAGTTATATCTATTTCCAGATATCTAAACATTGCTTCCTGCTTTATTATTTTCTCATCAATTTCGATTTTGCATCGTAGTTGGTATTTTGATGTTGTCATATATTTGGTTTTTCTGCTGATATTATCATATTGTATTTCATGGCTGTTGTATTGAAGATGTGTGTTAATCTTTGGAGCTCGTCTTTTGTCTCGGAGATTAATGCGGCGTAGTCTGCATAACATAATATTTGGATTTCTTTGTTCCCCATTCTGTAACCACGACCTTTACATAGTGCTTGTATTATTTCGTTCATTATTATGTATATTAAAAAGAAGTGAGCTTAACGAGTCACCATGGCTGGTGACTCGTTAAGCTCACCATGTCTCATCTACCAAATTTATTGGTATGTTTCTTTTATACAGTAGCAGTTAGACATCTTTGACTTTGATGCGATCGAAAGCCATTGTCAGGTCTCTCGTTGTATCAATTCTTTGGATAACACCTCTAGATGCACTCATTCAAAGATTTTGGGATGTTTAAGAACTCACTGAAAGCCCCATGCTCAGTCAGGATGATGAACTTGCTGCACGTATCTTTAAAACTACAACAAAATAATTACCTGAAGATAGGTTTTAAGTAGATCTGCCACTACGATCTTCAGCAGAGCCCAAAAGACTAGGCAATCCGTTTTATTCTGCAAGACAGGTTCTACAATCTTGGAAGGAAACTTGTAAAAGATAACACAGTTTACACCCAATATAAGGACTTCATACAAGAATATATATCTCTCTCTCTCTGGGTTATGCAAAGGTGGTACCCCTCAAACTTACAAACTTGTTCTTGCAAACTTGTTGTCTTTGATTATTCTATGAAAACAATCTCCGGTGTCTCACTCGATAATACTATGTTGAAGGGGTATAAAACTCAACCAGAACCAATTGACAGTTTTATAAACATTTTTTTACGTTTTTACCTCTGATCTCAGGCACATTTACAGACAAATACTCATAAACCCCATTCAAAGATATCTCCTTAACATTCTTTGGCGAAACTCCCCTTAAGATGAGTTGCAATGTATCCAGTTGAATACTGTAACATATGGTACTAACTGTGGCAACTGTGATACCAGAATCGTATCCTCTTGCAAGTGATGATATCCTTAATGCATGCTACGTAGATAATACGTTGTATGGTGCTGATGACCCAACAAATCTCTCAAAGGGTTATTTTGAAATCACAGTATTATTTAACAAAGTAGGAGTATCAGTACACAAATGGTGTTCTAACTCTCAAACTTATTATAAGGAATTATAAGGGGCAAATCATTCAAAACAAAAAATCCAATTAAATATAATGAAACTGATCGATTAATTAAAAGAGAATAAAAGAAGCTAAGGAGAGAATGTTACATGAGCAGTGCCAAAAACTAGAAGAAATTGAGAAAAAATATGACTTTTTTAACATGCATAAAATAATTAGAGAATTAACAGAAATGAGAAAAACACTTCAAACTAGACAACTAAGGGATGAAAGTGGTGCACTTATAACAGATATAAACCAAAAAATGCAGAGATGGACACAATATATAGCACAACTTTTTGAAGACAAAGAGACAACAGAAGCACCAAAAGAATTTAAGGATGATACTGGGCCTGACATTATACGAGAAGATATTGAATATGCAATGAAACAAGCTAAAGGTGGTAAATCTCCCGGGCCTGATGAAGTACTCGAAGTACTCAAAATTGTGAGTGAATACTGAATCTGTTGATCTTCTTTTGGATCTATTCAATACCATATATTTAACAGATATAATACCTAAAAAATGGCTTCAATTAACATTCATACTGCTTCCCAAAAAAGCCAATGCAAAGGAGTGCAATGAACATCGCACCATAGCCTTAATGAGTCATGTCTTGAAATTGTTTTTAAAAGTAATTCACAATAGAATACATAAGAAATTAGATGAAGGCATAAGTAATACCTTGGAGCATGGATTACAGAAGATACGGATCAGACAAAAGAAATAAGATGCCGTATTGAAATTGCACGGTCAACTTTTAATAGAATGAGAAAACTTTTTTGTAATCTCGATATCAATATATCGCTCCGGATAAGCATGCTTGGATGTTATATTTTCTCTACCCTTTTGTATGGGGTGCAGCTTGAACACTTAAAAAATCCAACATTAAAAACCTAGAAGTATTCGAAATATGGTGTTGCCGACGTATTTTGAAAATATCATGGATGGATCGCAAAACAAACGAAGAAGTTCTCGAACAACTAGGAAAACAATGCGAAGTTTTAAATTCCATAAAAATCAGGAAATTGGAATACTTGGGGCACATCATGAGAGGTGAAAAATACGAACTACTAAGGAATATAATGCAGGCTAAAATCAAAGGCAGAAGAAGCGTAGGAAGACGTAAAATCTCGTGGCTACGCAATCTCCGTGAATGGTTTGGATGCAGTACAATTAAACTATTCAGGCTCGTAACCAACAAAATTATAATTGCCAGAATGAATTCCAAACTCCGATAGGAGTGGAACTTGAAGAAGAAGAAGAAGAGGCAGAAAGTGTCAGCACATTTAATTAATTCTGTACTTATCAAAACTTGAATACATTTTAAAGGATATATGAAAGAATTTTTACATCATTGTTTAATCACCATATAGTTAATTTGTGTCTAGCTAGAATAACAACAGAACTAGATAAAATATCAGTAAAATAGACAAGAGGATACTCATTATAACAAGAATCTATATAATGAGTTTCAAATGACCATTCTGAAAACGAGAAACAAATCATTTCGAAGCAATTAAAACAAGGCAGATAAATATTCCGCTTTAAATAACTTTTAATAACTTCATAATTAGAGCTGTATGTCGTTTCCAGTGACAGACCTCCGGGGTATTAAAACACGACACGTAAATGTAGATTGCATTGGTTGGCCAAATCAATGACGTTCTCAGCTCCAAAACAAGAAAGAAATATCACTTTATTTATTTATCAACTTTAATAAATTGTTTTTACGAAAATTGTATGATTTATCTGTAGCTTTCATCTGTCTAAATCCTAATTTTTTGAAGTCTACTAAATGTCTATACAAGGTGAAACATAAGAGCTTTACGATCATTAGCGGTTTTGAATTTGGTTAACCATTATCTTCTTCTTCTTGTAGTTCCTTCTCCTATCGGAGGTTGGCTATCATCACAGCTATCCGTACCTTATTGGCGGCTGCTCTAAAAAGATCTGAGCTGAGCTGCAACTATACCACTCTCTTAGGTTTCTCAGCCAGGAAATTCTTCTTCTTCCTATGGATCTTTTACCTCTGATTTTACCTTGCATTATGAGACTTAATATCTCATATTTCGCACCTCTGTAAATGTGGCCTAAATATTCCAGCTTTCTTATTTTGATGTGCTTTATGACCTCGCAATCCTTTTGTAGCCTTCCTAACACTTCTGCATTTGTAACTCGTTGGGTCCATGGTATTTTCAAAATCCTTCTATAGCACCACATCTTAAATGATTCCAACTTCTTTATATTATCCGCCTTTAGTGTCCAGCTTTCGATTCCATGCAGCAAAGTCGAGAACACGTAGCATCTTAAGGCTCTTATCCTCAGATCCAGAGGAAGATCTCGATTAACAAACATTGTTTTCATTTTTATAAATGCTTGTCTTGCAATTTCAATGCGTGTCCTTATTTCTCTACCTTGGTCATTGTTTTCACTTACCCAGGTTTCCAGATATTTGTAGGTATTCACTCTTTCTACTTGTTTTCCTCGATATCTAGCCTTCTACTGTATGTTGCTTAGAAATAAGTCATGAACGTTGGTTTTCTTTAATTGTTCATTTGTAGTACATTATTTCTGACATACTCGACTTTGATGTAATCTATTTACTAAGCGTTGCAATGCTTCTAGACTGTCTGCAAAAACAGCGGTGTCATCTGCGAATCTTATGTTGTTTAAGATTTTTCCGTTTATTGATATACCCTGTTGTTCCTCTGATATTGCTTCCTTAAAAATAGCTTTGCTGTACAGATTAAATAACAATGGGGACAGCACGCAACCCTGTCTAACACCTCTTTTTATTTCTATTGTTTCTGTATCGACATCTTCGATTCTAACCTTTGCTTTTTGATTCCAGTACAGATTGACAATAACCCGTATATCTCGACTATCCACATTCTTTTCTTTTAACAGTTTTACGAGTTTCTGATGTCGTACTCTATCAAAAGCCTTTTGATAATCTATAAAGCAGACATAGAGATCCTGGTTCATATCTAGTCGACTTTGCGCGAGAACGTTAAAAGCGAACAGAGCCTCTCTCGTTCCTAGTCCTCCTCTGAATCCAAACTGGGTGTCATCTATATCTTCTTCTATTTTTTTGTATAATCTTCCATGTATTATTTTGAAAAATATCTTAAGTGTGTGGCTTATTAAGGAAATTGTTCTGTACTGGGAGTATTCTGTCGCATGTACTGACTTTGGTAGTGTTACAAACGTGGACAGCAACCAATCTTGGGGTATTACTCCTGTTGTATATACTTTGTTGAACAGATCTAAAAGTATATGCAGTGTTTCTTCGTCAATGCATTTAATTAGCTCAGTGGGTATCTGATCTGGGCCTACTGATTTTGCGGTCTTTGCATTTCTAATTGCCTGTTCTAATTCGCACATTATTATTTTCGGTCCTGTTTGTTCCTGTGGTTCTTCTTGTATCATTCTATCATCGTCGAATAGTTTCATTATGCCAAAACCTTAATTTATCTTTGATGTCTGCAATAAGTTTACCATTATCATCTTTGAGTATCCCATAGTGTGCTCGCTTTTTGGTATTTGTTAGTTCTTTTATTTTTTTATTCATATTAAAGCTGTCGTATTTTCTCTCATACTCTTCTATTTCTTTGATTGTTAACCACTTTTTCTTGGCCTTTTTTATCTCTATTTTAGTTCTACTGTGTAGTTCTTGATATTTTGGCTCATTTCTCCCTTTGGCTTTCCTCCTCTCTTCCATTAATGCTAGAATTTCTGAAGTCATCCACTTCTGTTTTTTATTTGTCTTTTCAGGCTTTAAATTTTCTTCTGAAGCCTTTAGTAGTGCCTCCTGAATATTGCTCCACTTTTCATTGAGTCTTTAAAATATAAATCTTGCTCACATATAAAAGTTTGAATTTGTGGCTTGTTCCAAGTAGTGTTAAGAATTATTCTGAGTAGAATGATGCGAAGCATACATCATAGAGCCCTTTCATCCATGGTGGAATGTTTGCCGTCCTCACTTAGAGCTCTTTGGTTCGTTTATCACGGTAAATCACTTTGCATTCTGATTGTATATTGTAAAAAGTTTGTTGTATGACTTGGCTTTCGTTACTCATTTCGATCTGTGCATAGTTCCCTCTTATTTGTCCCTTTCAAGATTTTTATGTCTCTCTGGTTTTTACATGCAACTTGGTCTTTCAATTTCTGGCTTTTATTGATGATCTTCTAAATTATTAGGTCGTTTTTCCTTCTCTCTATGTGTTCTAGCCATCAGTCTCTGCGTTTTAATAAATCTAACTATAATCTTCTTTCTTTATTTTATCTCTTATATCATGGTTCATTCTTCATTAGACGTGAAACATTATCTTGATGTGATGTCAAATACTCTATAAAATGAGAAAAAATTATGATGTATTTATTATCTAGCTATCTTTTAGGAGTTCGTTTTGAGAAAGAGAGGTAATAGAATGCTTGATCTTCATTCTTAGGGAATTTTGTTTTGTTCTTTTATTTTTTTGATTTGGATTTACAGATGCAATATTTGTTATAAAACAAATTACTGAGAAATCACTACAGTATAATAGGTATTTTTCCAGCATTTCTGTATCTGATTGACCTAAAGAAAGCGTTTGACAGAGTAAAACTCAAAGATGTAATATATCTTCTGTCTTCTTCTTCAAGTTCCACTCCTATCGGAGATTGCATTGTTGGATACGCACCTGAATAGTTCAATTGGACTGCATCCAAACCATTCACGAAGGTTGCGTAGCCACGAGATTTTACGTCTTCCTACGCTTCTTTTGCCTTTGATTTTACCCTCCATATTCCTTTTATTTATATGATATTCTTCAGTAGTTCGCATTTTTCACCTCTCAGGATGTGCCCCAAGTATTCCAATTTCCTGATTTTTATGGAAGTTAAAACTTCGCATTGTTTTCCTAGTTGTTCGAGAACTTGTTCGTTTGTTTTGCGATCCATCCATGATATTTTCAAAATACGTCGGTAACACCACATTTTGAATGCTTCTAGGTTTTTAATGTTGGATTCTTTAAGTGTCCAAGCTTCAACCCCATACAAAAGGGTAAAGAAAATATAATATTGAAGCATTTTTATCCGAAGCAATATATTGATATCGCGATTACAAAAAAGTTTTCTCATTCTATTAAAATTTTACCGTGCAATTTCAATGCGGCATCTTATTTCTTTTGTCTGATCAGTATCTTCTGTGATCTATGCTCCAAGGTAATTGTATGAAGATATTTGTTTAATTTCTGTATTATCATTTCAGAAAATATGACAAAAGCCTCCACTTTTGTCATTTTCTTTTGGTTTATTTATTATATATTCAAGGTCCTCCTTGTCATTTGCTAATATGACTTGGTTATCGGCAAACTGTAATCTATATATACATTTTTCTTTAAGGTCACTCGCTATTTGATTGCGTTTTTGTTTCCATTAATTTAACGATCATGTCACATATATATTAGTACGGGATCCGAATCTAGATCGACCTTAACCCATCTGTTTATCGAATGAAACATTTTTTTATCAAATTTCATATTTGCCTTTGTATGTTAGCATTTTAGATATCATTAATTGTTTGCACCAACTGTTTTTGCTGTGAGCTTTAATTTTGCCAGTAATTCCTTATGTTGGTGCAGATTTTATACTATTTACCACATTCTTGTGGACCTCTTTCACATGTTTTTGATCTACCTCCTATGCACCAAATAGATTTTCATCCAATCTATTACGATAAATGTGCTGTGTACTTTCATGACTTAAACTGTTCAAATTGTTTCTTATCCATAACCCCAAATTTCTTGGGGTTCTTGATTTAATATTAGTATTGATTTAATTTTTGCACAAAAATGCACATTTTTGTAGTGTACATAAAACATTAACTCTTACTAATTTTTCAGGACCTCCAGATCCACCGAGCGGTACCCCATGCATAACCACGTCCTTGGATAGCGTTACGTTGACCTGGAGCAGCTCGCCCTATGACGGGGGCAAAATCGTCAACGGGTATGCCGTGGATTACTCTATGGTGGGCAGCGACATCTGGACAACGGCAGTCGAAGAATGCCACTCCCTTAGTTACGTAGTTAGGGGGTTGCAACCCGGAGGCCGATATGTTTTTAGGGTACGGGCGCTTAACGTCCACGGATATAGTAAACCAAGTCTCGAATCTGATATCGTACAGTTAGAAGAACACAGTAAGTATTTAAAAATAGTCAAAATTAGCAAGATATTTTGTCCCAATAATCTTACTTTAACCTTAGACAAGGAAAGAGAGGATACGCGTAATTGTATTGCATTGACTGAAGCCAAACCGGTACCAAAAAAGTTGCCAGGTCATATTTTCTTTCTTGTTAGATTATTCTCAGTAGATTGAGAATAATAGATATATAACAATAAATCGATTTTTTTCAAAATTTATAATTGAACACTGATATAATGATCACTTTTTGATAAAGATTTTATCATTGCATTTTTTTTAGTAGTTCGATATGGTGTTTCGGTAAATAAGTAAATTGAAATTGAAATTGGTAGATCTACTGAAAAATCAGTAGACCTGGTAAACCCATGGAAAGATAGTAATGGGCAACGTACATGCACTCAGGTACCAAAACATGGCGGCCACATCAAAACTGGCTTCACTTTTCGAAGGTTTATTAAATAAGCGTTACCCTCTCTCTTTCCTTGTCTAAGACTGTAACGCTATAGTCGCCATATTAGAAATAAGTTCTTGAGTTATCTTGAGTTCTTGACATATAAGTTCTTTTGCTATTAAACAATTTGACAAATAAAAATGAGAAAATATTTTTTTAAATATTGCGTTTTGTTGTCAGTCCTTTAGTTTCTCTCTCTAATATGGCTCCCCTTTTGTTCTTTTTTTTCAACAGCTCTGAAAACTGGGCTATTATACTTTCTTGATATTTAAATTGATTTAGCCGTTCAGCAGATCTTTACTATTTATATACCTGATTTTATTTTATATAAAATTTATATATTTTTTATTTTTAGATGAAAGTAGCTACTTCGAACCGAGAGTTGTATCAGTGGAACCAGGTCCCGAATTCAAGACGCGTTACGACGTCCTCGAAGAATTGGGCAAGGGCCGGTACGGCGTCGTTCATAAAGTTATAGATAAAGTATCGAATCAGAAACTCGCAGCTAAGTTTATTAAATGTAGGACTTCCAAAGATAGAGATAAGGTACAAGACGAAATCGACATAATGAATCTCCTTAGGCACCAAAAACTGTTACAATTGGCCGCCGCCTTCGAAAACCCCAGAGATATGATTATGATTATGGAATAGTAAGTAGCTTTTTTTTAATTTGTGTAAAATGACAAAAAAAGTGGTATAGTAGGTGGTACTGTAGACTATCGTGAAGCTTTATACTGTTTCTGGTACTTTTCACAACATACATTATTGTAAAAATGCTCACTTGTGTGTTACGTAATGTTTAGGTAAGGGGGGTCTTGTAAAACGTTATGATGCGTTACACGGGGGAGGAGGGTGGTCAAAAATCTTGCGCTATCTAATATCTGAACGCCCCCAGAAGATAGTAATCATCGACCTATATCGACCGTTGGATCTCATCTGGATTGATATCGTCCTAAGTTCGACAGTTCATCCAAATTCCTCCCCTTAATGATTCATATGCATGTATGGCTTACACGCTTAACACAACATAATGCTTTTGTTATCATATCAGCACACTGCTGTTCGCTCGGTACATATACTAGTTTCATTTTATTCTCAAAAACACAATCTCTAATAAAGTGATGACGAATATCTATGTGTTTAGATCGTTTTTTTTCTAAAGTGCAAGCAATCTTTATGCATGACTGATTATCTTCAAATATCAGTATTGGATCAACTATTTTACAAATCATATCCTCTAGCAACTGTTTAAGAAAAAGACACTCAATTATACGGTTTGACAAAGCAACATATTCTGCCTCATTACTATAAATTGCTACAACTGACTGTTTCATGATTCCAGAAAATAATATTACTATTAAAATTCAAAACAAATCCACTAACACTTTTCCGATCATAAATATTGTAAGCAAAATCAGAGTCTACAAAAGCATTAATATTTATGACAGTATTATTAGATTTTACATATCTTAGAACAAAATTTTCAGTTTTCTTTAAATACCTCAAAACATTTTTTAAGTGATTCCAATGGTTGATACCAGTTTTGAAATTGACTAAAATACATTACTGTAAAACATAAATCTGGTTTTGTTTCTAACATAATGTACATAAGTGATCCAATAAGTTGTTTATAAGGCACAATATGGAGATCATTCTCATCTTTAATTAAATTTAATTTTGGTTGAATATGCAGATCCAAGGGTTTACAATAATTCATATTAAATTGGTTTAAAAATTTTCTATTTAAATTTTTCTGTGAAATTAATAAAAAAATTACCTTTCTTTTCATTTTCAATATCCAGAAACACATCCATCAATTTGGACATTTCAATGTCCATTTGAATGTTGGATAGTTCTGCGCCTATTGGGAGATATTTTGTTTTTTGTGTATTGAGTTCTAAACCCCACTTTTTGTATTCTTCCTGTAGTTTTCTGGCCATATATGTCAGGTCTTCTTTATCGTTGGCTATAAGGACTTGGTCGTCTGCAAACTGTAGGGTATATAGGCAAGTTTCTTTTAGGCCAATGCCCATTCCTCTGCACTTTCTCTTCCACTAATACAGTGCTTGTGCCACGTAGATTTTAAACAATGTGGGGGATATACACATGTTTCATATATTGTTCATCAAATATCACACTTCGAGAAACTTACTGTATCCTACCAAATATTTTTCTTAACTTCTTTCATCGAGCTTTCCTCTTACTTCTTGAGGAACATGAGCCCAAGCCTTCGATCCAAATATTCGTATCTGTTCTAGATCTATTTTTTTATTAAACCAGATTTCTGTTGGAAGTTTACCACTTGGCACTGCGGTAGTTTTTAATCGATTATTTATATATGTTGCTGTTTGTACAGCTTCACTCCATAAATTCTTAGGCAGTTCACTGTCAAAAAGTAAGCAACGGGTCATATTTAAAACAGTTCGGTTAAATCTATCACTGATCCCATTTTGCTCAGGATTTCTAGGCACTGTAAATTCAATTTGAATTCCTTTAGACTTGCAAAAATGTTTAAATGCATAGGACGCATACTCCCCGCCATTGTCAGTACGTAACCTGGATATCTTAGTTTTAAATTGGGCACTTACTATTGCTTTATATTCCATAAACTCCAATACTTCACTTTTTTCTTTGATTAGATATATAGTTCAGCTCAACAGGCCTCAAAGGCCCAAGGCTTCAACGGTTTTCTTCCATTTCTTTCTATCTTGTGCTAAGTTTTTTCAATCTTGTACCCGCAGCGACTTCAGATCTTCTTTTGCCGACTCCAGCCATTTTCTTCGGGGACGGCCTCTTTTTCTTTTTGTACCAGCTTCCGTGTTTATTAATTCATTGGGAACTCTTCCTTCCTTCATTCTTGCTATATGCCCGAGCCATCTTAATCTTTGAATTTTTGCGAGTCTTGTTATTTTTGGTTGTCCATATATTTGCATTATTTCTTCATTCGTTCTTCTTCGCCAGATGTTCCCCTCTTTTACACCTCCGTATATCCTTCTAAGAATTTTTCGTTCCCATCTATCTAATTTTACTTCCATATCTTTATTTAGTGTCCAGGTCTCGCTAGCATAGAGTACTGTAGGTCGGATAACTGTTGTATATATTCGTTTTTTTGCTGTTCTGGATATTATCTTCGACCTCAGTATCTTAGTCAGGCTCCCAGCACTCTTACTACCTTTGGCCATTCTTTTTATTATTTCTAGGTTCTCTTCGTTCCTATTTGTTAGTGTCACTCCCAAATAGTCGAATTGGCTAACAACTTCAAAGTTATATTCTTTACTTGGGCTTTGTACCTTAAAGGACTCTCCTAGATGATTTTCGTTTCCCCTCATCACCATATATTTTGTTTTTTCTTCGTTTATTTCTAAACCATATTCTCTGGCTATTCTCTCTATTCTAATAAAGATTTCTCTTAATTCTGCAGGTCTCCTTGTTATTAAGGTAACATCATCTGCATATGCTACACATTGATGTCTGTGATGATATATTGTGCCTCTAGTGTAGATGTTACCTTCTCGTAAAATCTTCTCTAAGATCAAATTGAAAAAATCTGTTGATAACGGATCACCTTGTCGCAGACCTCTATTGGTGATAAAACTATCCGAAACCCGTCCTTCTAACATGACTTTACTTTTAGTATCATTGAGTATGCATTTAGTCAGTGTTACTATTTTTGGTGGAAATTCAAAATATTCTAGTGCTTCATATACTCTATTTCTTTTTATAGTATCATATGCCATTCTAAAATCAATAAACAGCATGTGTACTGTTAGGTTGAATTCATATGAGCTAGCTAAAATTTGTTTCATTGTAAAAATTTGGTCAGTTACCGATCTGTTTGCTCTGAAACCTGCTTGATATTCACCTAGACAATTTTCAACTTTTGTTTTAATTTTATTTCTAATTGATATGGCCAAAATCTTATACACTGTATCTTGTAGAGCTATTCCCCTGTAATTTTTACATTCTGTAACGTCTCCTTTTTTATGCACTGGACATAAGACTGCTTCTTTCCACTGATTGGGTATTTTTTCTTTGATCCACACTTCGCGTATTAACTCAGCGATTTCTTCTTGTACCATTTCGCCACCTTCTTTTAAAAACTCAGCAATGATACCATTTTCACCAGGTGCTTTGTTGTTTTTTTTTATCTCTATAATTTCTTCCTTGGTAGGTACTTCTTCATTTACATCTGTGTCCCTTACTTCTTCATGTTGTAGTTGCGTTTGTTCTCTTGCATCTTGGTCGTCCGTACATAATAATATGTTCTCAAAATAACTGGCCCACCTTCTTAATTTTTCATCTGTTCCACCTAACAGATTCCCCTCTTCATCTTTATAATATCTTGATGTGGTTTTGTACTTGGTTCGGTCTCGTTTTATTTCTTGGTAGAAATTCCTGACTTGTTTATGTAAAAAATCTTCTTCAATACGAACTAGTTTCTGCTCTAAACTTGAACGCTTCTTCCTTCTACAGATCTTCTTTGCTTCCCGTCTTTTTTCGGCATAAGCTTTTTTACTCTCTTCATTATTTCTTATTATGCTATTTATTCTAGCTTTATTTCTGTCACTAATGGCTTTCTTACAATCCTCATCATACCAATCCGTTTGTTTACATTGTCTGTTTCTTGATAATACTGAGTCGGCTGCTTCTTGAATTTTTTCTTCTAGTTGTATCCATCTGCTTTCTATATCATTTACTGTTGTCTGGCTTTTCAGTTTCTCTTCAATTTGCTGCCTGAATTTTTTCCTAACTTCTCCCTCCTGAAGTAGTGCACCGTTATATATTTTTATTTTTTTACAACTAGCTTTATTAATTGTGGGTATTATTTGCTCCATTTTAATTTTGACCAAAAAATGGTCCGAATTTGCATCAGCACCTGTGTAACTTCGGCTATCTTTTATGGCTCTCATATGTTTGGCTTCTATTAGGAAATGATCTATTTGGTTTACTGTTTGTCCATATGGTGATATCCAGGTACCTTTATGAATTTGAATTTTTTCTTTGATTAGATACACATATGAAAAGTGAGAAAAATGATCAATAAAGACAGACTGACAGAGAATGTAGCGTAGAATCTTTAAGTAATTTTAAACTGTTTGTCCTCGTTTTAGTGTAGTGTTTTGTACAATTTTGTCACTATTAATGTTTCCACATTCTACGCTTGTCGGATAGTTTACATTTTGACGAAATGCCCTGAAGATGCTATTTTAAGCGAAAGTACTTGGGCTAGATTTAATTAACTTGTGCTCGATAATAGCCTTATTTTCAAAGTTCATTTCTTTTATGTCCAGTTTTACCGCACTTGTAGCATTTAAATCGAAAATTGCCCTGTCCTTGTCCCACTACTGGATATTGTCTATTTGAATGTCCTCCACCATTCTATTGTCGTTCTCTACTATGATTTCCAGGACCATGTGTGACCTGTTGGGAATTCTGTTAACGTTTATAGTGATATCGATTCTTATTAGCAAAGAAAACTGCTGGTGATTCTTCATTATGTTCTTCTTAACTGAAAATAATGTCAATTACTGTAACTGTTGCTTGATATGACTCCGGCATAGCAGCTAACAATTGTGAAACAATTTCGGGTTCTTCAATTTTTCCAGCACTATTCTTCAGATCTGTTAATCTGTTTTCAAAAATCATTAAA